AGAGTAGGAGATGTTCATTAACTTTATATTGGAAGATTTCTTTCTTCATTCCCTCCTTCAGAAGAAAGTGTCTGCTGTGCTTTCTCTCTGTGATTAGTTTTTTTATTAGGACCAAAATTGATTCTGTTAGATTATTTTCTATGCCAGATATGCAGTAATGAAATAGTTCATGAGTGTAACACAAGATGGTAAGAAAGCCATGTGAAATGTTCTTCATTTTTTTATTCCATCTGCTGCTACTATGTGGTAGACATCTTGTGGTTTTGAAATAGCACTTCTTCAATTTTCTTATTTTTGTGGTTTTGGAAGTATTGGATCAGGTATTAAAATGTCATACCTATTAGAAAAGTGCTCTAGGAAATTTTGTGGTGGGCCCCCCTAAAAGTTAGTAGGATAATGGAAAAGCAAAATTCTTCCTATAATCTTAATTCTGCTGAAAGAAAAATCAGTAGCATATAGCTCCTTTTTTCCTTCTTATCTCTTTCAGTTTAATGAGAGCAGTCTTAAGCACTGAAAGACTCTGGAGACATACAAACCATGTTTGAGAGTGTTTGTAATCTTCAAATAAATACCAGCTCAATGAAGTAAAAATCAAGTAATCCTGAAGAGAGAGAGCTTTCAATTCGAAACTAGGTATTTGCTTACCCCTGCCTGTATGGAAGGGAAAAACCTGCTGCTCGGATGAAGTAGTCTTTGGCAGGATTTGGCCAGATGGCGCTTATTCCTGTGACTATAGAAGAAGTAATGTCTTTTAAGTTTCATGATGCTTTCTGTATTCTCTCCTGTTTTCAATGAAATTTATGCATTTCATGCTTTTTGTGCTGGGAGATGTTCCAGAATGCAGACTGGCTCTCTTTCCAGCCGAGCCGGCAGGCAAGGCAGACGGAAGCAATATGCTCTAAGAAGAAGTGTGAATTTTCTCCTGTATTTCACTGAGGGTTAATGGGAAGACTAATTAGGACACTTGAAGCCAAAATTACTGTGTTTCACTTTGAGAGAAATTATTGGAGACATCCATCAGCTGTAGTTGGATATAAGTGGCATTCCAAGTTTAAATCTGCTGAAGAGTTTAGAACTGGAAGTGAGGAACAGAAGTTTAAAACTGACTGAATTAATTTTTAATTTAATATAGAGTAGAAGAAGGAAAAATAAAAATCTACGACATATTAATAACTCTGTAATCTAATAAATGAAGGAGATCATATACTTCTAATTATTATTGGGTTTAATTTGTGTTTGAAGACTGTGTATAGGTAACATTAAGTCAGTATTTTTGATTGAAAATAATGTATTAAATACTACTATGTATTTTTTTATTATTTTAACTTTTACAGATACACGTATACAGAATTTCTTACTTTTCTCTTGCAGATATGATATTTCTACTCCTAGAAATCTGCATAGCCTAAAACTTTGTTCTTTTTGAATCCTAATATACTTCAATTTTTTTTTTTGGATATAAGAAAGCCTGAGACTGCTGCCTTTGCTGGACTGACTTTGTGCTGTGTCAGACTCAGCTTCTGGGTAAGGCACAAGACAAAGGTTACTTTTCTTTGAGTGTTACAAAGGCAGCAACCTTTAGCTAAGGAGTATGTACAAGAAGAGATGCATTCCTTTCTACTGTGCCATTTCCATCCCTACTTTACCTGGGAGAGTAGGAGGAGATCAGGAGTCTCTTCCTATTCTCCTGCTGTATGTTTCCCAAAAGCAGGACTCTAACTCTGCACTTTTCGTCTCATAATACATAGGTTTGAGACTCCAACTCCATCAGGTCATGGACCTCTTTTGCCTTCTTGTCACTGCTTTGGCATCCTCAGATGTCTATTTCATTGCAGAGCAGGACTGAAAGCTGCAGCCCCTGCTCGACAGTGTAACAAGATGTACCCACTTTGTGGTGTCTTTTTATGCAAGTGTGTAATGAGTTATGAGGGAAGACAAGTGGGCAGAGCTGAGAGAAGCTGATACCATACTTCACACAGGCAAATTGGTTACATGTTGTGAGCATATCACAATTTCGGAAACTAATAGTGTTGGACTATCACAGTCTCCACTGTTGCAATATCTGTGGGCACTGATGTGCTTGGTTAAAAGACTGCAATTCCTTCTACTTGAAATGGCTTGTGTGCTTTCTGTCTTCCTCTTTAACATGTCCCACCTCTTGACCAATATCAAGACAGAGAGAACGGACAAGAAAAATGTTTCTCTCTGCAGTATAGAATTTTTAAGGAAGAAGTGCAGGGAGGAGGGAAGGTCTTTCATTTTGCATGTAAAAAATATTACCGCACATAAATTAATACCATGATAAATCAGGTAACAAGCTCGTAGTAGTCTACTCTCCATTTAACTTTATCATAGAATTTCCTGAGTTGGAAGGGACCCACAAGGATCCCTTGGGATTCAGCTCCTGGCCCTGTACAGGATGGTCCCTGTGTGTATTCTCTGGCCATCATCAGCTCTTAGACTGTTGGTCCACTTGATCCAGCTCTGACAGTTTTGTCAAGTCTTAAAGGAGCAATGTTTTGTAACTACTGTGGAATTAGTTGGCTGGGTAGAGGGAAGAAACAGTGTGGTGTGAGCTTATGCTTTGAAATGGGAGGGTGCATGGTGGGGCAGTGACTCATTAAGAAGCAGGAAGGCTTCAACAAGATTTTCTGCCTTCTTAGGAGCCTTGGCATTAACTGTGTAATAAACAGGTAACAATCAAGGAACCGTTTACTGTTTTGTGGACTATAATGCATTTTTGTCATGAAGAGTGTGACTATGGGACTGTATTATTTTGTATTGTACTGCAAGGAGTGGGTAAATCTGGTCCTATATAGGGAGGAGTATTCACGTTGGGGGTAAGGATATCTTTATTTGAATACATAGAAAAAGAAGTGCAACCATTTTTAAAAAGTTGTTGCACCATTGGAAGCTCTCTTCTTTTTCCTATTTGTGGGGTGGTATTTTGAGTCAAATACATGCTTTGAAAGTGTGCTCAATTAATAATCTGTTCTGGCTTTTACCAAATCACATTAACTTAGTGTAGCCATCGAACTGGGTATGCCAGTTGTACTTGCTGAACAATTATTTTTACTTCTGAGTTGTCCCACTATGAATTCTTGGACCAGCTGATAAATCTCAAAGAAGTAGGTTCTCTCTAGGTTAGGATGAGAGAAATAAGTAAAGTGTATCCATCTTGCTTTTGGCAAAAAGGACACCAAAAGAATCTTTTAATTAGAGCAACTTCATTCTGTCTATCTGCCATTAACCTAATGAGCATTATGAACTTGCTAAGGTGCAGCCATGGAACTTGGCGAGAGCTGATCCTCTAATGAGAGGATTAGGTGTTTATTTCTGTTGTCCACAGACTGATGCTAAACATGTTGCTGGGTATGTGGGAGCTCTCAGTCAGTCCCCAGTAACCTCTCCTTTACCTCTGTCCTTTGCTCTCCTGCCCCCTCCTCAATAACACCTCACTGATTTCTTCATTCTTGATATTTTGGCTTGGGAAAGATTTTAAAAATTAAGATACACGCAATTTCGGTGTGGTGGTGTATTTGGGTGTGTAAATACACACACACACACACACTCCTCCTCCCTCCACACCTGTTGAGATGGGGGAGAGAATTGGAAGTATGAAAGTGAAAAATCTCATGTGTTGAGTTAAAAACAGTTTAATAATTGAAAGGAATAACAAATTGTAAGGAAAATTACAAAGAGAGAGAAATAAGAACCAGGAAAGCTGCAAATGAAAACGGTCACCACCAAACGAATGTTGCCTGACCAGCAGCCCCTCAAACCAACTTTCCCTCTAGTTTTATTGCTGAGCATGATGCTATATGATATGGAATATCCCTTTGGTCATTTGGGATCAGCTGTCCCAACTGTGTCCCCTCCCAGCTCCTTGTGCACCCTCAGCCTCCTCACTGGTGGGGTGGGATGAGAAGCAGAAAAGACCTTCACTCTGTGTAAGCACTGCTCAGCAGGAACTAAAACATCCCGAAGTTACCAACAGTGTTTACAGCATAAGTCCAAAATGCAGCCCCATACCATCTACTATGAAGGAAATTAACTTCACTCCAGCCAAACCTGGCACAAAAAGCATACTTTGAAGTCAGTGAGATCCAAAAGGGATGAATAGCTCTGTCCAAGTGACCATTGTTAAACTGATTCCTCTCCAGCATTGCCATTTTACAAACTGCATTTGGTTAATTGTTTTGCCTTTAAAAAATGGGAAGAGAGGCAATGGAAGAGGAACCAGTCTTGGGCTCTGGAATTGTGATACCTCTGCCATTTGTGCTGTAGAAGCTACTTTGTATTATCTGGTCTGAGGGAGAAATCCAGCCTGCCCTCTTAAAGCTGGGGAAGGAACAATGCCTCCTTTGGCTCACAGCCTGAGAATTCTACCTGGAACTGCTGTTTCCACTGCTTAGTCATCACCATGGCTAGGCTTCACGAACGAAGATTTGGGGAGGGCTCTACCCACATTTGTTACAAGCGCGCTGGTGGCTAAAAAGGCCAATACGAGACAGGCACATCTGACTGCAAAAGGCACAGCAGAAAGACTCCTTAGGTGGTAAATTCCGCAAAACACGGTTCTTTCTGCATTGTCTTTTCTCCTGCAGAGAGTGATCCTGCATGCGTTCTCAAAAGCATCAGCAGCGTTATAGATGGTGTGTCTCCAGGCTTCCCGATTGGAGGCCAGAGTAGACCAGTTCTGTTGATCAATATGGCCAAGGTTGAGATGTTGTTTCAGGGAGTCCTTGTATCTCCTCTTCGGGGCTCCTCTCATGAGGCAGCCGGTGGCAAGTTCACCATAAAGCAAGATCTCAGGAAAACGGTGGTCTTTCATCCCAATTTAATTAGTTTACGTTCTCATAATCTTGAATGGTTTAAAAGACCCTGTTTTGTCAAGAAACCTCTTCTATTTTTGCATTTCACCTTGAATTTGATGATTTATCTTGTTGTTAATGAGTTCTGTATTTGTACTTATTTACATGATAAATCTCTCTTCACAGATCATTCAACTTCAAGTGGTACATCCTCATTTAAGCCCAGCCGATCACTGGTTTCCATTCCCACTGCCCATGTGATGCTGTCTAATGCCAGCTCTTCACTTTCCAAACACAGGGAAGCTTTCAAGTCTGATGGCTCAAAATGGAGCACAAGCTTTGTACGGTCAGGAGGAGGCAGAAATCAGGGTTCACTGGACAACTCCCTTGACATGAAAGATGCAAGACCTGTGAGAAAATGGTCCTCCTTGTCTAAACTCAGCTCACCAAATACCTTCAGCCAAGATGGTAGTAGTCATTTGATGGAATACAGGGCTGGTACAGACAAAGCCATGTCACCACAATTAAGGACAAATGGGCCAAGTTGTTTGCATGACAGCATGGAGTTGCTAAAAATTGAGGACATAGAAATGGGGAAAAAACGATCTTCTCTACTGGACTGCAAATATAAATTTGAAACGTGCAGCAAAGATGATTTTGTTTCAGATTCCCCAAGTAGGAGACATGCCTTAGACTTGACCTACAGTGCCTTACCTGAAAGCAAACCTACAGCAGCCAGTTGTGAGGCTTTCGGACAGAGATACGCAACACTGGGACAACAGGCTGTGAGTGGAGCTCCCATACAGCCGGCAGTGAGGACTCAAATGTGGCTTAAGGAGCAGCTCCGTGCAAATCCCCTGGACTGCAGGCCTGCCGAGGAGCCCTACGGTGTAGCTGCATGGCATGTGCAGCAGCCTGAAGATTTTAGAATAGGAGGTGAACAGCCTGTGCAGGTAAGGCTAAAGTTTGGTGTTTGCTGCCATCATGCGGCATCGTGTGTTATACCTGGCAGTTTGTAATGGTCCCCTTAATCAGGTAATGATGGTTTTAAACTTTGACTGGGGATGTTGCTGCTTGTTTCTCAATATTACCTGAGTGCCAACAGTTCTTTATTGTTTTGTTTGGTTTTTTTTCCTACTGTCTGCTTACAGTTTACTCTGATTCATTGAGCCTGTCTGCATGGGACCAGCATTTCTTCACATGAAACTGCACACAGCAAGAGCTTCATCAGATAACCTTTTCAGTAGTTTGAGAGAGAGTCTTTGATCACAGTGTAGTGGGGGAAATGTGAATGTATTTTGATCTGAATGGGCTTAAAAAGAGGCTGCATTTATGCATTCAGCAGAATAAGAATTACGTCTGTGTACTGCAAGGATGAATGGATATTTTGTATACTACACCCAGCACTTAAAAACTGGATTCAATTTGATATTACTGCTTATCTTTTAACTAATTAAAATCAACAGTAGTCAATGAATCTGGTTTATTTAATAAAATAACATGTGGGTTTTATCTGTCATACTTAAAATATTTTCATATAGAGAACATCAAGCACATAGTTTTAAGAGACAGGTAACCCTTTGTAGCATGGCAATTCAATTTTTGTTTCCAGCTTTTCCCCTAATGGGAAAATATGGTTTGTGAAAGAGGGCAGTATTTAAAATCTACATGTTCCTGTTTACCTGTGTAGGTAAACTTGGCTTGGCTTGCCAAAAAAATCCAAGCAATTTACAATATGTAAATTTCTCTGAAAGGCATTCTAGGGTTAGACTAGGATATTATCTGAGGAGAGATAATTCAGCTGTAAGTGCAAATTACCTGTTTTCCTCCAGCCTGAAGTACATGAAATAATTTACGAAGAGTTGTGCTCAAATTTTGTTGTTTTTTCTGTTGTATATTGAAGGAAAGACTGACAGGTTTAGCAGTTCTTGGGATCCAATTTTACTCTTAATGGTGATCTTAATGGTTGGGTTTTTTTGGTGGGATGGTGGGTTTTTGTTGTATTGGGTGTTTTTTGGAGTTTTTTAAATTAAAAAAAAATGAAGCCAAATTAATATGGCCAAACAAACAGTAATCTTTAAGGGTCTCCCTAAAAACCAGACATTGCTACAGCTGGCCAACCTTTACCTTTATTGCTACAGAAACCCTCATCTTTCTCTTAAGGTTTTTGAAGATTTTGATGTTGAGAAATTCCCCAGGTAGGGAGCAGAGGCCGATGGAGTCCTGTCAGAGCCAAAGTGACAGAAACTGGGTCACTGCTGAGGCTGGATCCAGGGCACTGCCAGCTGGGCTCTTGGCAGTTGACAGCTGTTGGTGGCATCGAGGAACACATGAGGGGTTTGGGAAGCAGAAGTGACAGCAGGGTACCACTAAGGAGCTTGGTGTATCCATTCATTCAAGTCTTCCCAAACACCTGAAACACATGTAGCTGGCTACAGCCGTCAGAGGTGCTGTCTGTGAGGTTTGTGAGCAGATTACTGTGCCTGGTGGTTCTCCTCTTGGATTTTAATATATAGAATCATAGAATGTTAAGGGTTGGAAGGGATCTTTAAAGATCATCTAGTCCCACTACCCCCTGCCATGGGCAGGGACACCTCCCAATAGACCAGGTTGCTCAAGGCCTTATCCAACCTGACGTTGAACACTGCCAGGAGTGGGGCATCCACAGCCTCCCTGAGCGTCTTGTTCCTGTGTCTCACCACCCTCACAGTAAAGATTTTCTTCTGAATATCCAGACTAAATTTCCCCTCCTTCAATTTGCACTCATTAATCCTTGTCCTATCACTACAGTTCCTGACAAAGAGTCCCTTTCCAGCTTCTCTGTAGGCCCCCTTCAAATATCTGAAAGTTGCCATGAGGTCTCCACACAACCTTCTTTTCTCTGCACTGAACAGCCCCAACTTTCTCAGTCTAGTGGAGGTGTTCCAGTCCTCTTACCAGCATTGTGACCCTCCTCTGGGCTTGATCCAACAGTTCCATGTCCTCTTTATGTTGGGGACACCAGAACTGTGCGCAATATTCCAGGTGGGGTCTTACAAGAGCAGAGTAAGCTTTGTTTGCTTCTTTCCTTCATTTAGGTATGTCTCTTCATCGTATTTTATGTACCTTTTACACAACATTTTGTTTAGGATGGGTGTTTTAGAAACTTATTTTTATTTAGGTCAAAACTCCCAGCTTTTTTTACATGTCTCACAGGTGCTTTCTCACTCTGATTGTGATTAAACACAGTATCAAGGCAAAGTTTAATGTTTGAAACAGATTAAACTCTGTATCAGTGTTATTACAGTTACTCAAAAACTTTCGTCCATGCAGGCATTGCTGCCCACCTGTGTTTGAAGGACAGAGCCAGCAGGGGAAACACAAGCATTATTTCTCTCTGTGGCTTGGATTCCTAAAACAGTGCTGCACCTTTCCAGGTTTTTGAGATTGAAAGATTATAGAGTGAAATTTTGCCTAAAACTGGCATTTTTTCTTTTTCTTGCACCTGTTACTTTTACATCTCCGTGGAGGAGGTTCCTGATGGCCTTAACAAGTACTTCCATTGGTATGATCTGGAGTCAAGTTGATGGGCCTTGAAATGTGATCTGTTTTATTTCCTCAAGTAAGATGTGGTTGTGAAATAGGACCCAGAGGAACAGAAAGTGAAAACATGTGCAAGAGCGATGAGCCTCTGGGCTCTTAGAGGCATCCCCTGCTGGCCCTCCCTGCCTGCCCTGTCTTTCTGACAGAGGTTACAGCTGTGAGAAGGAGGGACACCACAGAAGATGAATAAAGGAGAATGTTTCTTCCTGTCTTGACACCTGATTTTTAAAGAAACCTCAGCATAATTGTGCTATGGGCTTTTTTCAGAGATCACCATGTGTGCATCTGGGAACTGATACTTTATTATATCTGAGAAACCAAGAAAACAACAATCCTATGTGGAATATATATCTGAGAGAGAGAGTAGGAAACGTAAGATTTTGCTTGAGGAAGCTGATGATTTACAAAAGGGGAAAAAGCCACACCTCTAGAGGAACATTTTATTTTTCTTTTCCTCTTAGTGGGGATTGCTTTTGTTGTTTTGTTTTTATTACATACATAAGCTGGTGGAAATGTAGTGGTTTTTATAGGACTGAAAAAAAATTACAATTTATCATTCTTTCATTTTAACACTACTATTGCCATGAACAGAAAAGAATGAACTTTGCTTTCAACTGTCAATCTGGAGCAGCTTTGTGTATCTTTAAGACAGGCTTATAGCTGCCCTCTATAATCTCCCCTTCTGTCACTGGTGAAGTAAAAATAGACAGCAACAATTTTCTGAGTTGATTTTGAGGACTGATGGTGCAGGAACGGATGGGGGACTTCATAACACAGCCTACAAATAAATTTTTGTGCCCTCACAGACTCGTATAGACAGTTTACCATGGAAAACTCTGAATTAGAATTAATTTTTATAAAATCAGACAAGCTTTGAATTTGTTTATTGTAAAGGTAAATGCAAAGTATAATGTAACAGCTCTCAGAAGCTATTCCAAGATTAATTAAATTCAAGTTTAAGATTCTCTCCTTCTTAGTAGTCTGAAGTAGACTGAACTCAGTGTTTTTTCTTACACTTTGCTCCCCAAATTTAAAAGCCTATAATGTGGCTTTTCCATTCCAATTGTAAACCATGGATTTTAAAATGAAATTTCCTGTGCATTTGTCTAGCATTGTAAGAGAAGCTCAGGAGTGTTGGGTAGAAGACCTGCAGGTACATTGAGATTCTCTTTGAGGACATGATCAGGTTTGCAATTGCAGAAAAGGTGCAGGATCAACAAAAACCTCTTCAGAGAAGATGCATCATTCAGTTGTGGGTGTGATGCATTTAAGAAATGTGTACATTTAAGAAATAAATATCCAAGGAGGATCTGGTCTTTGGTTATTGTGTAACATCATGTAGTTGCATATGAAAGTTTATTTTTCTAGCTAATGTGAGTTATTTAATGTAGGCTTTTTGAAGATAAACATTCTCCTACACATTTCCAAGGAACTGATTTTAACAGTTCTTCAGTTTATGAAGTTCAGTTTATGCACTGAAGCACAGAAACAGTGCTTCAAAGAAAACACTTTCCATGCAGAATTTGTATTTCAGCATACATTTTAATTGTTTTGAATGGGCAGCCAATCTTTCAGTAAGGAAGTGTGTGATAAGACCTATGCTAAGGGAAAAAAATGCTTGTAATACACAACCGTGGTTCCTATTTACTGAACTAGGAGACCATACAAATCTAGATTGAAAGGTTCTATGTTTTCATTTAAAGGCACTTCTTACAGTCTGATAGTATTATATATCCTATAATCTGCATCTAGATACATGCTGTATGCTAGTCCAGAAATTAGATTTGAAGTGAAAGCATGCCTTTAAAATTGTTGAAGATAATACAATGCCAAGGTTTCAGAAGGTTGCATATCTACTTATTAACTCTGTACAGTGTTGCAAGTATCACTGGATGAATCTCTTTTTTCCAGTGTACAGAACATCTGTGGTTTCTTGATGGTGTGCTAACACGTGTCAGAATATAGCAGAGATAATAGATGGAAATTGCTTAAGTGCATCTTTTCCCTTTAATGTACCAGGTTTATTGGTTGTTTGTTTTTTTTTTTAATGAGGAAAATGCTGGATTTATCATACCGTGCATATAAAAGTTACTGGAAACTAAATTTTAATGCATTGAGAAATTTAGAGATATTATAACAACTTTCATTGCAAAACAGAGAAGGAAAAAACTAAACTGCATGCATACCTAAACCGGTAAACAAAGCTGTACTAATTGAATGAAAAGGTTATGACATTCTTCAAATAACATTGTTGCCACATAAAACTTTATTCTTAAATGTCAACTCAAAGCTAGTTCTTTTTACAATCCTGGCAGATCAGAAAACTAAAAATTATTAATATCAACATTTTCCCTGCATCGTGTTTTGATGA